TATAGGGGTAGCTGAAATTCTGAAACGCGTTGTACTGAAAACGAGACTGATCAAGAGTGATACATGAGTACTAATTAATGGTGTACACCAACAACAACAACAACAACAAACTCAGTGTAATCCAACAAGTGAGATCTAGGGAGGGTCAGTGGCGGACCCAGAATTTTCATCAAGCGAATTCAATATATGAAGAAGTAATGCATAAAAAAATCAACAAAATAAATAATTATTAATTTAAAAATAATCTAATATATTATTCCAACCGTACTCTATGAGTTTTCATTTCATGAATCTATTCATAATTGTTTCATCAGAAATACTATTAAACATTTCTCTTTCTACATAAGGTACCAAACAATCACTCATAAATTCATCATTCATTTGATTTCACAATTCACTCTTGATCAACTTCATTGTGGAAAAAGCTTTTTCAACTGTAGCAGTGGCAACTGGCAGGAGCAACGCAAATTTTACTCGGCGAAACAAAAATGGATAATTCAAATGCTTCTTTGTCTTAACTAGCTTTTCAGAAAGATCACAAAGTCCTTTTAAATTAGAGAACCTTTCATCAACATCACGGATATCAACGATATAAGTCGCAAGCTAATTCTCAAGAGTAATCATAATATTTTCGTCAAAATCATCAGGATATAATTCAGCCATTCTCAATATCTTCTTAATGTCAAAAATAGAAAATGAGTCAACTGTATTCAAGCAAGCGACTCCCATAAGAAAATCTGTTGTCTCCTCATTAAAACGCTCATTGAGTTCATAAAGTTGCCAATCAATAATCTTAATAAACACATTAACACGATAGTGATGTGAAATGGTATGCTCTGTAACTTTGCGTCGAGATCTCTAGAGTTAACATAGAACTCATCAAAATTAGGGATCACTATGTCATGCTTGATACAAAATGCAGACACCTTATCAATAAGTGGATCCCATCCTTCATCCCTTAGCCTTTGCAATCGTTTCCTTGCCACATCAACAAGTAGAACACCATTTGCAATATCATGTTCTTTCTACTGTAAGGATGCATTAAGCTCATTTGTAATCACCAAAACATCTCTCATTAAGTGTAACATGAAAGCAACCTCAAATGCTTGACATGTTCTAAGATATCATGTTGCCTTAGCTCTTTCTTCTAAAGACCGAGCATCAACAACGATAGTATCTAGAACATCAATAATAGAGTCAAACATATAAATAAAGTTCTTAAAAGATTTATAGTGTGATCCCCAACGAGTATCAGCAGCTCTAGCTAGACCAAGTTCTTGATTTAAGCATTTGCCAGTATCAATTTCTCCCATATCTAATGCCTCTTGAAGTTTTTCTGCTTGAGATTGTCGAAGATCATCCATACGCTTAAAAGAACCCCCCACTACATTTGATACGTTAGAAACCAACAACACAAGTTCTCCCACTTCAAGACATTTTTTATAGACTGCAACAAGGGTCAGTTGAAGTTGATGAGCAAAACAATGAATAGAATGAGCTGATCTACTTCTTTTTGAATCAAAGTTTTAAGGCCACTTAGATCCCCTTGCATATTGCTTGCTCCATCATAGCATTGTCCACGTACATAAGATAAACTCAAAGAACATTGAGCAAGGTAATTAACAATTGCTTCCTTTAAATACAAAGCACTAGTGTCACGAACATGTACGATCCCAATAAACCGCTCCACCACAGATCTCATTCTATCAACATAACGCAAGACAATAGCCATTTGTTCTTTGCATGAAATGTCACAAGATTCATCCACTAACAATGCAAAATTATCACTGTTTAGATCCTCTATAATAGCTTTAATTGTATCAAGCTTACATGCAGTGACAATATCTTTTTGAATTTTATGAGAAGTCATTTTATCATTTTTTGGAGCCTTTTCCAACACAAGATCACGAATTTTATCACACCTTTTTGCATACCACTTAAGGATTTCAAGAAAGTTACCTTTGTTTAATGATGATTCATCTTCACGATGTCCGCGGAATGCTAATCCTTGATTCAGAAGGAGTCTCACCACCTCAATTGAAACCTTTAAACGAAGTCGGTGTTCGAGCTTTGTTTGAGTGGATTGTGTATAAAATGCAGTTTGAATTGACTGTTTTTGTTGCATTAGATTTTCACATTTTTTCTTTGCTTGGTTATGAATACTGCTCAGCCCTCCAATATGCATGTCTAATCTTTTCTTTTTATGCCAACTTTTAAATCCCATACTCGAAAATACATCACCTCCACCGTAATGAATGCTTTCATCTTGAAACAAATAACAACACAAACAATAAGCTGCATTTTCTATCACGCTATACTCCAACCAATCATGATATTGACCAAACCATTTGGGATTAAAATGACGCTTTAAACCGAAAAAATCTCTTTTAGGAAATTTGTGAGTTCGAGGTTGGTAAGGACCTTTTTGAAGGTATGCTCTTCTAATCTCATCACGCTCATTTGGATGATAGTCCCTAATAGATATTCTTTCCTTTGGATCAGCCTTTAAAGAGTCCAGATCAACTCCTTGCCTTTGTTTTTTAGACAAAGGAGGTTGTTCTTCTAATTGGTTCATATTTTCTTCCCCCGGAGGAGCATTTTGACGGGAAGAACTTGATTGTGGCAACTTGGAAGATGCTGGAGTGAAATATCTCTTCATTGAATTTTGAAACTGGATTACCAAATTAAATTTCTAATTAGAACAATAATTAATAAGTATATTTAAACTTATGTTTCAACTAGCATCACAAACAAGAATAATCTTAAACTCAATTCACAAAATAATGATGGTGATTGGTGCTAATTCCCAAATTACAAGAGAGAAGAAATACCCAAACCCAATTGTAATTACTAATAATTTTAAGAGGTGTAAATTTTTCTTATTTGAAGAAATCACAATTCACACACAACCATGATAATTTTATAATCAAAGATAAATAGATACATTATACAAAAAGTAGAGAATAAAGAAAAACCTGATTGGTGACTTTGCGGATGACGCGAGAGGTGAATTCTAGCGAGATGGCAGTGGGCAAACAAAAGCGACGCTACGGCCGATGGTGGAGACCTTGAAGTTTGAATGTTTTACGGGTGAAAGTTTTTAACCAAGAGACATGAGGTTTTGAGATTTGGAGACTATTTAATATTTAATATGTAGTATTTTTTTCTTAATGAATAAAGAAATAGATTTACATAGCAAAAAATAAAAAATAAAAAATAAAAAAGAGAGGCAAAAACGTGTAGCCTAGGTCTACACTTTTCAAATTATAGTTTTATTTGGAAAAGAAACAAAAAAAAATATATTTTCTATTTCTAATGAATATAGGAATAGGGGAATTATTTAATGAGCAAAGACGTGGGTTCCACGAAAGCTTTTACCGGAGAAAAAGTAAAAAGCTTATACACAGAGGAAACGTTGTTGGCTAGTTTCGAGCTTGGGATCCTTGGAAAATAATGAACCCGCTATGCCAGCGAGCTAGGCGCTTTCATTCTGTCAAAGTGGATTCAAAATTTTACTTATCCGCTTATTTTCTCAAAGAAAAATGAGATATACCTATATACACAGTATAATTTTTCGGCGAAGCGGATTCATATGAACCTGTTTGATCCCATGTAGGTCCGCCCCTGGGGAAGGTAGTGTGTAAGGAGACCTTATCCCTACCATACAAAGGTAAATAAGTTGTTTCCGGTAGACCCTCAGTTCAAGGAACCGTAAAACTAAAGCAACAAAAAATTACAACAACAAGATAGCATGGTAATAAAAGCGTATAATTCAACATGTATGAACACGAAATAGGAACAAGAAAAAAATACAATAGAACTAGTAATACAGGCAAACCTAGGAGAGACTCACGACGACTATCTGTCAACTTTTCATCCTAATACTTTTTCTTCACACTTTTTTATCAAGGGTCATGTTTTAAGACTAAGGATGACGATGGAAAAATAAGTAGCCCCAATTGTACGACACATACTTCCTACGAGGAGTTTCTCCATTCCTAACAGTCGATTCCAAATAAGATTTTTGGTTAAGCGTCCCTCCATCCTCCTACTTGATAGTGATCCAGGTTTCCATATAGCACATGGAGGCCATGTTACTCTTGTATTCCAAATATGTCTTACTCACACTTGTACTAGTAAAGACAATCCTGTAAGGCCAACTACTTGAAACTGCCACCTTAACTTCGCTCCTTCATTAATTCATATGCTCTAAATGCCACAAATATTAGATGGTTCCTTTAATTGATAAAAACACACTACCCCATATCCAGGACCATATGCTTCTTGATATTTTCATCTTTGTAGTTTCTGTAAATGATAAAACAAGAGGCCAATGAATTGAGGGTTGTTGAACTCAAATCTTAAAATAGGTGTAACTGGATAGCCAAATGTGCCATTTCGGTTTAGCTTTCTTTAATGTAGGAGTATTAAATAAATTTCAAAAATCCAAGAATTATTGCAAGTGCTCTAGGTACAGGTATGTCACGACCTAAGTTCGCCCTCCGTGATCTGTCGTGACGGCACCTAGTCTCTACGACTAGGTAAGCCTAACAATTACGGAAAAAGAAATAAATTGCGGAAAAACTAATAAAAACTGAAAATAGACAATATAAAGGCGTTTAAGATGCCGCTCGGCATATACTAATACAAGATCTCAAAAACTGAACAACTTCCCAAAACCCGGAATCTCATGAAATCACAAGCTAAGAATACTACATAGTGCTCTAACTCCAGAATATCTAAAACAAAGTAAATACAGAAGGGCTGTAACTACAAGAGAGAATGGAGAGGGACTCCTCGGTCTGCGGACTCGGCATATACACCTCGAAGTCTTTGAAGGATCGCCTCGCCTCAAGGATGGTAGGACTGAGCCGAAGAACCTGGATCTGCACATGAAAAACATAAAGATGAAATACTCAGTAAGTGCCAAGCCTAACCTCGGTCGGGTAGTGACAAGGAAAGTCAGGGCCCTACTGAATGTAGATAAAATAAACAAGGTAAACAGTATAGAATACGACAATATAATTTAAGTGCTAACAGTCTATATCAATTAAAAACACAGAAGGAATCTAACTCAGTACACAGAAACAACAGTAGGGGATCCCTTGGGATACCTTCCCGTAGTCCCAAACGTAAATATCAAAAATATCTCCCGGGATACCGTCCCGCAAACCGAATCATAAAGATGCAGGGGAACTCCCGAAACACCAATCTGTAGTCCCAAAGTAAATATCCAGTACAGGGAATCTACCGGGTACTATCCCGTAGTCCCAAATGTAAGTGTGCAGGGGGATCTACCGGAATACCGATCTGTAGTCCAAGGTAAACAAATAGGGGGGTCTCCCGGGATACCGTCCCGTAGTCCCAAAGTAAACACACAACAGCAACATGAAGAATATTCAGTTCAATCCAATTTCCTACCAAGGTAAAACAGATATTTCTAACCTAGCATGCTGCACATAATTCAAATAAGGCAGTTTGATCTAATAAAGTAATTAAGTCACTTAGACATGTTTCCCTAATCTAACAGTAGGTTTAAATTGCAAGGAATGTACAACAAGGAAGAAAAACACAGTTATAGTTACTTAATAAAAACATGATTTTTAATAATTAGCACATGTATGCGCTCGTCACCTCACGCACAAGGCATTTCATATATCAACAACACCAAATCCTAAGGAGAGTTCCCCCACACAAGGTTAGACAAGCCACTTACCTCGAACCGGCTCAAAAATCAACCCGAAACCACGTTCTTGCCACGAGTACTCGACTCCAAATGGCCAAATCTATTCAAATCATTTGCATAATGTAAATATAACTTCAAGTAACTAATTTCACTAATTAATTCAAAGCTAACACGCGAAATTAAGAAAATTGCCCAAAAAGTCCCCCGGTCTCACGTTTCGGAATCGGGAAAAAGTTACGGATTATGAACTCCCATTCACTCACGAGTCTAACCATACCAAAATTATCCAAATCCAGTGTCAAATCCCCAATCAAAACTCAAAAATTAGGCCTAAAAACTTTTCCAAAATTTTTCCCAATTTCTCACCCCAAATCCGAAATTAGATGATGAATTCATGTTTAGATTAATGGGTTATAAGCAAAAAGGAGTTAAGAATCATTACCCGCAAACTCCCTCCGAAAATCCTTCAAAAAATCGTCTTCTATCGAGCTCCCAATTCAATTTTGTAATATGAACTCAAAACTCTCGATTTTGAACATTATGTTCTACCTAGACGCGACCTTAATCGCGATCGCGGAAACTCCCACGCGATCGTGAAGAGCAACTTCACTGACCCCCAAATTAATCCTACACGAACGCGATACTCTCTACGCGAATGCAATGCTTGCGCTGCTCAGATCTATGCGATTGCGAAGAGCAACTTCCACTCCTCAGCTGCCTCACTTCTTCCTCTTTGCGAATGCGGTGTAGCCCACGCGTTCGCTATTCAACTTCTACCAATACTATGCCTTCTCACTCCCTTTCCCGCGATCACGTAGAACAAAAATCCCCTCTGCCTCATCTAAGCCTTCGCGGTCACGAGCCTCCTCATGCGATCGCGATGAAGAAAATTCTGAAACAGAAAACCAGAAAAATCGGATCCTTCTCCAAGTCCAAAAATGGTCCGTTGAGCATCCGAAACTTACCCGAGGCCCCCGGGACCTCAACCAAACATGCCAACCAATCCTAAAACATCATTCAAACTTGTTCCAACCTACGGAACACTCAAAACAAAATCAAAAAACCAAATTAACATCAGATTCAAGACTAAGAACTCCAAAAACTCTCAAATTACGCTTTCGATCAAAAAGTCTAACAAACCTCGTCTGAATGACCGGAAATTTTGCAAGCACGTCACATTCAACACTACGGAGCTACTGCAACTTCCAGAATTCTATTCCGACCCTGATATCAAAATTTCACTATCGAACTAGAAACTTCAAAAATTCAACTTTCGGCATTTCAAGCTTAAATAAGCTACAGACCTCCAAAACACAATCTGAACACGCCCCACGCCCGAAATCACCCAACGGAGCTAACGAAACTGACGGAATTTCATTCTAAGGCCGTCTTCACACTGCTTTGACTACGGTCCAAATTCTAAAGCTTAAGCTTTTTTTTAGGGACTAAGAATCCCCAAACACTTCGAAACTCAAAAGAAATCATCCCGGCAAATCAAAATAGCAGAAACAAAAAAGGAGAAAACATTTAATAGGTGATCTGGGTGTTAATTCTTAAAACGACCGGCCGGGTCGTTCCTCCTCCTCTTAAAACATTCGTTCGTCCTCGAACGAGCATAGAGACATACCTAAAGTAGTGAAAAGATGAGGGTAATGGCTGCACATATCTTGCTCGGTCTCCCAGGTCACCTCCTCGATCAACTGACCCCACTACTAAACCTTCACTGATGCAATGTTCTTCGACCTCAGCTTCCGTGCCTGCCTTTCCAATATTGCCACCGGCTCCTCAACATAAGATAGATCCTTGTCCAACTGGACTGAACTGGAATCTAACACGTGCGACGAATCACCGTGATACTTCCGGAGCATCGAAACATGAAATATCGGATGAAATCTTGCTAAGCTGGGAGGTAGGGCAAGCTCATAAGCAACCTCCCCAACACGCCGCAATATCTCAAAGGGACCAACAAACCT